GTCTGTGCGCGCAAAAGTAAGATGTGCGCATTGCAAGGCTGAAACTAACGGGACGTCCAATGAACGAGCAAAACCCTAAGACTAAGAGGATTGACACGGTGACGTGAGCTTTCCAGGTGATGAAGGGACTGACCCTTCGTCTCCAAATCAGAGAAGTGAGCGAGCCCGGATGCTTGAAGGCAGTCCGACACTTTGGTCTTTTCTTTGATTCTTTTCGTTTCTCTAACCAGTTGTCCAGATTTGTCCAGAAGATTGGAAGAGAAGGTTACAAAGTAGATTGCTTGTGCATTGCGCCCATCACCACTCTCAGCACTGAATCAGGTGGTGCTGAAAGCCAAAGTGCCTTTGCACCACCAAACGGGCTTCGAGCTTATTGCGAAGGCGACTAAAGTAAACACAATGCGCCATCCTGGAGAGTTGGTTTGGGCGCCATCCTTTCAAGGTCGAAGCACAAGGCTGAAAATGGGTGCAAGTGGCACCCCAAGCGCTTCCTGCAGCCAAGCAAGCAGTGCATTTTTACATCCCTCATTGCATGCTAAGGACTGTGCAAGATGCTCCTAGAAAGCATTTTCAAGGCACTTTCAGTGTTTGCTGCAGTAAGTCGTGAAGTGGTGCTAGTTGGCTTAAACAATGTTGTTGTGGTGGTATGCTGTGGCCTTCTCATTTGCTGAATCATTTTGAAGTATACACAGCTAGGATCAGCTAGGCCTTTGCAAATATGTGGTGTTCTTGTCGCAGATTGCCAGGAGAAAGCGCTGGTGAGCCTGAAAGAGCACCACCCCAGCTGGACCTCAGGAAACCGTTTTGTTGTGGATGGCCCTTGAAGTGTCCTCCACCCTCCATGGTTGTTCAGTGCGAAGCAGCAAGACATGTGAGACCAGCGAGGCCAGTGGAAGAACCTGCGGGCCCCTTTGCAGGTTCTGAACTAAGTCGTTGAGAAGGTAATCATCCCAGGATAATGTGCTTTTGCAATACTGTATTTTAGAATAGCATCATGATTAGACGTTTGGGAGAGACATGAGTAGGGCAACCTTCAAAATCGTTTTTGTCCAGGTGCCTATGAGGCTTCCAGGCGGGATGGTGAAAGAAGAACTTGAATTGGTTCACAATAGAAGCTGTCGTCCTGTGTATTTGTTTGTCAAGCTTCCAGCTGAGAGTGCGTGCTGATTTTGTCACAAGAATTGAGAAAGATCCCCCAAAATGCTGGATGTGAGGTTTGATGGGACAACCACGCTGCTAGTCAGCTTTCAAAGTCCCTCAGCTGCAAATTCAAGGGCACTCATCCTGAAAACTCCGCTTTTCCTGAAGTCCAAGGAGGTGCTTTCTTTGTTTCCGCACTTGTCAGTTGGATATTCTTTCGTTGAGGCTATGCTCTGGCTGTCCGCTTGGCCAGTCAGCATGGTATTGCCCAACGTGCTGGTGTGACACTTGAGGTTCAGAGGATGGCTTGGAGCCAAGTTGAGGATTCATCCGACATTGAGATGCAACGACTCTTTCGCAGCCCATGACGCAAACATGTACTTCAGCATCTTAAGCCAAAGCTTTTTTTGAGACCTCAAAGCCTCATATCCGCCCCACTAGCAATCGCCTACTTGGTACCGCTACCCCCGGATCCCGGGAATTTCAGGCCTGGCCTGGTGCACCGGATGGGGATGGTGCGGTGCACGGGTCCACAGCTGCCATAGGCTCTCCAGTTGGTAGAACGGAGGGACAGATGTTCTTGTCTATTCATTGGTGCAGACATTTGGACGAGATCACTTGGATGTGATCCATGCAAGTTTTTGTTGCCTGGGACTGGACATAATTATCCAGAGTACTCAGGCTCAAGATCCTTGGATCTTGTACGGCTAATGCAGTTGCTTGTGCCTTGGCTGGATGTCAGCCTCACTTCATGCAATCCTCACCATGCTCGGTTGCATTTTGTTGCAATTGAACAGAACACTCGAGGCTTTCTACTCCAAAGAGCCCAGTGGCTGGAACGCACATTTGGTCCCGCTTGAGGGAAAAGGGCGCATAATTGCAACGAGCAGTTGCTGCAGTCAAAACAGAGGGAACAACATAACACCTCAAAGAAAAGTCATAGAAAGTGGGATAAAGCCAGCGTCTTCAAAAGGTGTGCGTCATGCATTCCACATTGCTGCGCCTCTTTGATCTTTTTGAACATCTATTCTGAGCTTAGCTCGCAAAGAATCAACACACGGCCTTTCTCAATCTGAACCCAGTGCAGGATCTGGCACGCAAGCAGATCAGACGCGCGCTGGAGGCGCCCCTGTGGAATTTTACAATCTGGCAATCCACTGTTCGAAACCTATGTTCCTTGGACAAGCTGCCCGTGGTTGATAGGCGGGACCAAAGCGTATCCGCCCTACTACCCGAGAGGAACTGAGGCAGAAACGGTTGCACACGGTCACATGGACGGTTGATTCGCATTACAGTCCTAATTTGACTCCGTTTTTGGTCAGATTGTAAAGCCTAGTGTGGTGAGTGGCGAACGTGCGAACGCCCTGAAAGGTGGAGACTTGAAGATTTGCGCAAAGAGCTCGCGGAAGCGCGGAAGGAGGAGCAGAAGGTGGGAGTTTGCTTTGCATTGACTCGGACCTTGAGCGGCCGTGGGGAGTTTCAGGCGCATGAGAAAGAGATTGAAGCAAAGCAAGAGACGCCAGGCTAGTTTGTTGAGCGGAATTGAGGAGACGGGCAGATATTCTTGTAGTTCTTTGGCCAGGAGAACGAGAGGAGATTGCAGTGCAAAGGAAGACCATTGAGGACAGATCAGATTTCTTCAGATTTCTGCAACCAAATTGACCAGATGGACCAGTTTTTCAGAGGCTCGTCTGACTGGAGGAATGGAAGCAGCGAATCTCCAAATTGGAGCAAGAGAATTCCGCTCATCAGGTGGGGCTTCGTACAGGGAGCATTCAGGAAAATTCAGGAAATAACGTGCAAATGATGTACATTTCTCCACCCCCCCCGCTCCACCAACTTGAACTCACATAGACCACTTTCTCAAGTGGCCGACGAACTGTGTGATCTAGAGAGGGCCAATGACAATTAGTGATCCAAGACTGATGTACTCATTTGGCATGAGCCAGTCTCAGATCCATCCTGACTATAATCCCACCTAATCCCACTATGTCACAGACTATGCCCCACGAATTCTGTCACACTCCTTTGCGAAGGTGGAGATCGCAAGTCTGGAAAGCGCCCTCCAACGATTGGATCGCCTTGATGGCCCGGTCTTTTCAGCCTTCCGCCGCCCGCAGGGGCCCCGAAGAACACCCGGTGGACGCCGAGGTGATCAGCTAGTTCTCCAACACTCACACAGAAACCAAGGATACACGAGAAGACACGGGAGAAGACACACAAGACGCACACACACAAACGAGACATTCCGGAGTTGTAAGCTTTCTTGGGTCCGAGCGGTCTGACTTTCAGCCACTGGTGGTGCTGCACACCGTGCATGTGAAGCTGCACACCCAGTGGTTCATAGCCAGTGGCTGTGCAAGGTGGAAACTCGCCAGCCAGAATGCCACAGTGGATCCAAAAGCGCTTAAGGAGTGATGCACGTGTCGTGTGGAAGTCTGGGGCGCATTGCTTTACCAGGTCGAACATGCGCATTGCGAGTAAGGAAAAAGTCGTCGAACACCAAGAGTGTAAACTGGGTACATCCCTCAATCCCTGCCTGACCAACAAGGAGGAGTACCCATCCACCATCATCCACCCATCCATACAGTACCTATCCCTTGTGCCCTACGCATTGCCCACACATATCAAACAAAGGAGCAACTCTTGGAGAAAGAGAAGGCAGGATGGACCGCACGGATTTCTGATAAAAGGAACACCCTTCAGTTCGATTCAATACTCTCTGATCTTCCTGCCCGCCTCCTGTTTGCCAGCACTCTAACAGGCATTTAGAGAAGTGCAGCAAGAGCGCCACGAGATGCAAGAAGAACTTCTTGTGGCGCAAGAAGCTTCCCAGGTTCTTGCACAGGAGCGCTGTTGAGTTCAGGACAAGCAAGCAGTCTTTTACGCATTTCGTGGCAGGAGGCCAAAGAGAAATTAGAGGAGCTGCAGCGATTGCGGCATAGAACGGATCAGGCGAAGAGGCGGGATTGCGCATCGGAGGTGCTCGTGGACCGAGGTGAAGGGGCGACGGGGCCAAAGGCTCCAAGAAGCTACTAGGGGCTGGCATCGCTACTGGGTGCTCGGGTTAACTTGTCTCGAGTGGCAAGAACTTGTGCCAGATGAGGTGTGCCCTCGGGGGAAAGCTTGATTGGGCTACCATGGGCTCCTTTCTGTATGTATGTTGTTGTTGTTGTTGTTGTTTATCATGGTTGAGAATTCGACCAAACCGCAAGGGCACACTGTTGATTCCGTCTCGAGTTATTGTACTCCCAAGTTGCGAAACGGTGTCCCTAAGCAGTTTTGTGTCTAGGCGTGTAGATTTTCGTTTTTTTGGTCATTTCATTCTGTGTATTTGTTATTTCTTGGTGACTGGTGCTTGGAGCGCAACTTGGCCGCTGCTGCAGCACTGCTGTTGCTGCCCTTGCTGCTGCTGGTGCTGCTGGTGCTGCTGCTTGTCCTTCTTCTTCTTTTTCTTCTTCTTGTGAGTTGCCATCTTCTTTCCCCGGGTGTAAACCTGGTCTTGTACTGGGTGCTTGTGTTTACCCTACCATGGTCAAGATCTCGCATCGAAGCCGGTGTGCCATTAGGGGAAACCATCGCAACAGTGGACACTAGACGAGATGGGCAACATACTTCTCGATCATATTGATTCCTGATCTGCATGACACACTGGCTTTGGTGCGTCCACACTGCAATGTCTGTGAAGCCAGCGTGCCATTGCATTGCTGGTTGGCTGCTGCAGGTTGGCTGCTGCTGCTGCAGGTTGGCTGCTGCTGCTGCTGCTGGTGCTGGTGCTGGTGGTTGGTTTGCTGCCGGTTGGCTGCTGTTGCTTGGCGGCTGCTGCTGCTGGTTGGCTGCTGTTGGTTTGCTGTTGGTTCGCTGCTGCAGATTGGCTGCCGCTGCGGCTGCTGCTGATGCTGCTGCTGCTGCTGGATGCTGTGCTGCAGGTTGGCTGCTGTTGGCTGGCTGCTGCAGATTGGCTGCTGTAGATGCTGTTGGTTGGCTGCTGGCTGCTGTGCTGCTGCTGCTGCTGCTGCTTGTCGCTGCTGCTGCCGCGGGTGCGGCCTGGGCTAACCTACTCATTTGCTTTTTGTCATTGTCGCGCACACTCTATGTGATTATAGCAGACTGTTCGTTGGAAACGTGTTTCAAGCTTGGCAGGCTTCAGTGGTGAAACGCGGATAAGTAGCGCAAGGACGTGGCCGTGACTTAGTCGCGGCGTGGTGTCCCAGTGTGATATGGTCGCCGCAGCTGCGTTGCAAGGACTTTCGCGTTTGGGCGCAAGAGGGCTTGGTTGGGTCTTCTGGGCAAACGTGTTCATCTCGCCCAATACCTCGCCCACATCTCGCCCTGTATCTCGCCCAACACACCCGAGGACTTGGTGAATATGTTTTTGCAACCCGCAGGACAAGCTTGTTTTTTGAAAATGGTTGGTGTGCCACGGGGGTTGCCAGTGTCACAGCACATATGTGTAAGCACAGGTCTCTTCAATTTACATGTTTTGAAGCATTCGTGTTCACATATAAAGACCGCGCGCGCGTGCGCCAAAGAAGGCAAAACGGAAGCTAACCATGGGCTTTGTTGTGGGCTCAGCATACTTCTGGCAAAGATTGGAAGCCGGTGTGCCATAGGGATGATGTGGGATTTGCTCTTTGTGGGGCTGGGAAAACGGTGTGCCGTGTGGATGATGTGGTTTCTAGCCTTTGCTGTGGGTAGACATGCCCACTCGTACAGAGGTTCCACAGTCCGAGCCCATGCCACAGTTTGCTGATGGCTGCTGTTGGTTTGCTGCTGGTTGGCGGCTGATTAGCTGCTGGTTGGCCGCTGCCAGCTTGGTTTGCTGCTGCGGGTTTGCTGGTGCTGCTTGGGCGCCGCTGCTGCTGCTGGTGGCTGCTGCTGCTGCTGCTGCTGCTGCTTCGCTCCTGCTTTGTTGCTGTTTTGCTTACGCCTATGCTTTGCTGCTGCCTTGCTTCTGCTTTTTCTGCTGCTGCTGCTCCTTTGCTGCTGCTACTACTGCTGGTTTGCTACGGCTGGTTTGCTGCTGCCTGCTGTTTGTCTGCTGCCGGTTTGCTGCTGCTGTTTGGTTCCTGATGTTGTTTTGCCGGTGGTTACCTTCTGCTGCAGCTTGGGCTGCTGGCGCTGTTTACCTATTGGTTACCTGCTGCTGCTTTGCTGCTGTTTGTTGCTGGTGCTGGTGCTGCTGCTGCTGCTGCTGCTGCTTGCTGCTGCCGCTGCTGCTGCCTGCGCTAAGAAGCCTACTCATTTGCTGCCGGTCGTTGTTGCGCAAACTGTACATAACAAATTTCTATCATTATGGCGGCGTCCCCTTGTAAGCTGGGCTAACATGGTTTTGGCTTAGACGGCCTGTTTGGTGAAGCCCCGTCCCATGCGGAAACATGCCATGACTTAGTCGTGGCGTGGTGTCACAGTGTGATTTGCTTGCCGCAACTGCTTTGCAAGGACTTAGGTAGGAACTTAAGGCGGCGCCGCGGTGCCAACATGTGGGTCAGAATCGGTGTGCCATGCGGGTGGGATCATGGCAGCCTAGAAAACCTCAGAACCCACAATGGAGTGGTGTAGCTATAGAAACAACCTAGGAGAATTTCCAAGCGGTTTTCCAAATAGGGTAAGCGGTGTGCCATGGGGGTGGGTCAGGTGCCTGTGTGATTGGCTTTAAGTTACCGCGTAGTGGGCCCCTACCCTCACTAGTAGTAACAAGAAGCTCGTCGCTACTAGGAGCATTCTTGCTACTAGTATTAAGCAATCTAAGATTTGGCTTGTTGGGAGGAGGACATCGGTGGCGCATCAAGAGGACATCTTGGCGGCCAAGAAGGAGTTAGAGGCGGCGGTGGCGCCGATGGTTTCTACCGAAAAAGCAGAAAGAGCCCAGGATATGGGAGGTTTTCGAGCGAAATCGTGGAATGCCAATCATGGGGCATGTCAAATTTGCTTTGACAGACAACGTTGGGCCAGCGGAAACTTTCACGTGACATGGATTTGCAAACTTCAGGCGAGAGGGAAGGATGTGGATGAGGTGCTCACAAACAAGACTTCGCAAGCCCATTGAGAATAGCGCAGACTGCCAGTGATTTGGTTTGCTTGATATGCTCTCTTGCTATCTCTTGCTTCAGGTTCGAGCGCGTCGCAAGTCGATAAGTGCGGAACAGAAAGGTGTGGTCTTGGATGGAAAGTCGATACCCCAGACTATCACACCTCTGAGGTTCGAGATCTGCATTCCGATGTTTTTTACGCGTTAGCCTTTTTTCCCCACATGCTAGCGCGGCATTTTTACTTTTTCTCAGTTACCCCGCGTCTCCTCCTCCGTGCCCCGCTCCACCTCCTGCATACACACACACACACTCGAGATATTGCGTACGCAAATTGAAGGCCACACGCCGCGCGCCCACCTAGGTGTGAATGCCTAAGAGGTCAGAGTAGAGGTATGTAGAGTCCATGGTTATCCAAAATTCAACTCCAAAGCTCAAGTCACGGAAGGTCCATCAAGGTTCAAGTAACCGACAGGGATGACGAAGCCGTGCAGAGTGGGGTGTAGCTATCAACATTCGCAAAAGGAGCAGGTACGTCCAGAAGGCATCCCTTCCGGATATCAGCCACATTGCAGCCCTCCTCGTTGGGCAATCAACTGCAATGTGGGATTGCCCCCCTGCTCATTAGCAACCAAACCAACGGATTCCCCGGAGTGAGCCCGCGCGGGCCGCGCATCACCTACACCACACGAGGCTTTTGGTCATGTCATCCTTTCCTTCTTTTGCGCTTGCGCGCATGCGCGCGCTGGTCCGGAGTATGTGCGCTTTACACTTAAACTTTAGGTTGATTGAAGGTTTTGACAAGGAGGTTTGGCTCGTCGGTGGCTTCACTTGGCTCCCTTCATTGCAGCCGCCTACTTCTTGTCGTTTTCATGTCTCTCTTTCACGTGTTTGACCTGTCCTTGCACCTGCACGTTTGCCTCCTTGGGGAGGCGCGTGTGTGTGTGTGTGCACACCTTGGAATCACAGGTAACCTTTCGTTTTTTTAGCCAGCGTCCAACGAAGTGGCCACAGTACATGTGGATATCACGGCTGATCGCCGCGGCGTACCTGCGCAATTGGTGAATGTTGATCGATGTGTCCCACTCTACTTTCAGGCTGCTTAGGTGGGCAGACATGCATTCTTGTCGGCCGCTCGTTTCTCGACCTTGAACTTTGATGGTTTGAAGACTTCATGGCCAGACCGCGTTGGACATGCCCACCACCTGGTTTCTTAGGTTTTCACTTAGGTTGGCGTGTGGTAAGCCGCTGTGAAAATTGAAGTGCAGATTTTGTGGCATGCGCAGCGCCTTTTGAACTTGAGCTCGCAGATTTCAGAGGAGGCGCAGCGCTTTTATGAACTTCGAAGTGCAGACTTCGTGGCAGGCGCAATGTTTTGTGAACTTTGAAGGAGAATTTTCCTAGCAAGCGCAGCACTTTCGGCACTTGCGAGTGCAGATTTTCCTGGAAGGCACGACACTATACCGGAAGCTGTTGTGCAAACAAAATGGTCTACGAAAGGACGCTTTTTAAAAACAAAATGGCGTATGAGATGCTAAAGGCAGAATGGTCTACGAAAGATCATTTTTATACGCAAATCGTGGCAGGCAGCAAATGTGCTTTCATAGTCTCTCATATGTGCTCTCACGCGCGTGCTCTTGTTTATGTGCTCTCACGTGCGTGCTCTCATATCTAAGGCCCTCCAAACATCACCTCTACATCTAGACCTTGACACCTTTAGGTCTGTACATCGCCATGCTGGACCTCCAAATTTTTTAATCTAAAAACCTCTACACTACACCTCCAGACTTCTAGATTTCTACACCTCCAGACCTTTACATCCGACACCTAGAATTGAACCGCTAGACCTCTAGATGTTTCTACACCTGCACGTCCACAACTCTAGACCTCTACTACTGATCTTTAGATTTTTGGAATTACCCTTAAATTTCTAGATCTCTAGACCCTCCAGAATTCCACACCAGCTTAAGTAGCTATTTAATAGGCCGCTGCTACCTAGGACGCAGGATAGCTCCGGCGCTATTCATTTGGTTCCTAGATTTTTTGGGAGGTCCAGGCTCGATTCTACATCTAGACATTTAGAACTTTTCTACAGAGAAATGCCGTGAAACCAGTCTCTGAAGCGGCGTGCGATGAGACCTGCTTCACTGAGGCGCCGGATCTCCGTGCTGCAGGTTGACTTGGAACGCCAAAAGCACCAAAGCGAGAAAGACGTGCAAGAACACTTGAAATCTGAGGACAGAGCTGGCACTAGATTAGTATGGGTAGGCTATGAGGAAATTGTATGCGATAGTTTACTTTTCTGGTGTGTGTGCGTGGTTTGAGGCAAAGCGCTGTTGGCCATTATTGAGCTTGTGGGGATTTGTGGGGATCGGGAACGATGAAATACTTGTCGCTTTCCTGAACAACTCTGCTGACTCAGGAGCAAGCTTTGGCAGCTCAACATAAAGAGCACCTAGAAGACATTGCAAGGTCAGAGCAGCACGCTGAAGCTGCTTTGGAGCTCTCTCGGCAGGACGGGCCTTTTCTGTTGTGGCTTGCGCACAAAAGCGTATGCTATGGGGATTATCATTATCCATAAACTAAGAATCCTGCTCTTGACCAACGAGTGTACAGACGGTTTTGAACACTGCTAGCTTAACACCTGTTTATTTCATTCTATTTCGCGACATAATTTTGTGGCTGGAGCCATTCATTGTCATTTGCCAATGCACATTGACTGTTGGACCATGGAATTCATATTGCCTTCCATGTCCGGCATGCTGTTTTGAGGAATTGCAAAGCCTTTTGGACGAAGCTAGAAAAGAGAGGCTCAGTGCTGCAAGCTTGTGCCCACACACTCTGTCCGTGAACATTTCAGCACGACCATAACTCGTATAATTTGCCTGCCAGAGGCAGCTGGCCAAAGAGAACCTGGAGACTGCTCTTGCTGAGCTTCATTTGACACTCGGCGTGTCCTTGTCTAGTTGATTTGCCTTGCAGTTGATGTTTTGGTTCAGTCCTGGGCCTTTGAGGACTAGATTTAATAGATTAAACCTCTCTCATTGGGTTAAGAATACTTGTAAGTCATGTTCCATTTCGCAAAAAGCGCAAGGCTGTAACTGGTCAATCCAGGAGTGTCATTCTGAGTACTGTAGCCTTTCAGATGAATGATATGACGTGGTTTTACATGATTTTTTCAATTCCCCAGAGAGGGAAGTAAAACCTTTTTGACCCCGTGACAACATAATGATAACAAACCAGCTCAAGATAGGGATGTTTGCGGATAGGTTTCTGTGAGCACCGGTCTTTTTGTTCCTGACAGTGTCTTCGATTCTTGAAAGATCTACCAAGAACAGGGTGTTTCAAGATGTTTTAACGCATTTCCTCCGGTGCAGTAGGGCGGAGAAGAGGCTTCCTTGAAGAGCCACAAGAAACAGGTCCCACACCGTTCCGGGATTGAGAAATGCGTAACTAAAGCTGTGTGGTGACGAAATGACGAACTGACAAGATCCATCAAGATCACCACAAGCTTTGCAAGCGCTGCAAGGAATCAAGAGAGCCACTCCTCGCGTGATGATGCCTCGTATGTTGAGAGCCAGATCTCCGAGGAGAGCCTCGACTTGTTTCGCTCGAGCGCAAGCTGCCTAACCCCCGCCACCTCGGGAATGGACGTGACCTTTAGTCGAAACACGTAGCTCTTTTGCTTGACAACACTGGGAGCAAAGGGCATCGCTACTTACTAGGAACAAAGGGCATCGCTACTAGGAGCAAAAACGCTACTAGGGGCTCCTGGCCCTACTACTAGGAACAAGGTTCGCTATTAGAAACAAGAAATAAATATAAATAGAATTCGTTATTTCTTTCTGTTTTTCTCTCTTTCTCTCCTTCTCTCTTTGTTTCTATTTCCCAAGGGTGCCCTTTTTGCTCTGGGGTCTGGGGTGACGTTGCTGAGGTTTTCTGCAAGCGTTGGCAACCGTGGTCGAGTGTTTGCATTGTCTCCGTTTGGCCGTCCCATTGATGCGAAAGGGTCGGACGAACCCGAATTGTTTTCTCAGCTCCAAAAATCAGCGAAAGTCAGTTGGGTGAATATGTGATCAATCCGCCTCGGAGTTTGCTGGTGACACGTGGTTTTACACAAAGAGGGCTCAACTACAATGTAGCCTATTTCTCTACAGCTACTTTGCGAATGCGATGCCTGCTGCTGATTCGCTGCTCTCTAAGCGTCTGTGTTTGCCCAAGCTTTGCGCTACACTGCTCGCGGCCATCGCTACTCCGATCGCACGACTTCTTGTCAACTCTGTTTATGTCATGTGTTTGCGCTCGGCCTCGTGGATTTCGTTGTGTTTTCTAGTCTTTAGTCGTCTTAGCAGGACTGGATCCGGGTGCCGATCTACTTGCACGATGACAAAGATCAACTGCTAGCAGAGGTGGAGGAAACGAAGAAGGCAATGGCTTCAGACAAAGATTATGAAAATTCAGCGCTGAAGAAAGAAACAACAGGTAAAAATGCAGGCTTACAGTTCTAAAGAAAAAAGGACAAACCGAAAGACAAAGCCAGTGTTTGGACATGTTTAACAATCCACATTTGCGTGTGGTTTTCAATGGAACGTCCAGAAGTGAACAAGATTCGATGTACGAACTTGGGCGTGGCTAGTCCAACACGCAGGGGCAAACATGGTTCAATGACGAAACAAACAAAGAAACCAACCAACCAACCAACCAACCAACCGGCAGACAAACACATCATTCGTTTCAATAATTGTTTGCGCTGATTGAAGGCATGCCTGTTCTGAAAATTCAGATTTTAGAGTTTTAGAGAGGCTTGTCAAAGGAGACACCGCTGTGCGTGGGCTGCCAAGTAGAATAACTTGCACTATATAGGGTGCCAAACAGAGAACGCAAACGTGTGAAAACAACACATGTTCCTTTCGAGTTTCTCTTTGCTTTTAGTTTACCATAGTTCAACCCCATTGCAAGGCATGTTGAAAGAACCATTACATATTTGGGGAAATGCAATGATAACATATTACGTAAGTGCTCACGGTCCTGACCATGGCTGCCATGGCTATAGATTACTGTGGGATAGAGCACTGTAAGTGAAAACAGACTACATATAGTACACATTTTGAATGGAGACTAAGATGTCGAACGAAAGAAACCGATCCAAAAAAGACACAAAAGAAACAAAAACATGGATTGGACAGTTGCAAAAATTGCTTCCCCTTCAAGTTCAAGTGCTTCATGTCATTGTTTTGCAGAAAGAGGAAGGAGACAGTCCTTCCCAGCATCAACAAAAGGGTTTGCAATGCTAAGTGTACAGTGTATGCGCTATTTCTCGCACGATCCGCACGATGCTTTTTTTGTTGTGTTGCCCGACCAACTGGAAATTGCGTTTTTGGAGCGGCTGAAAGTCACTTACCCGCAAGTGATGGAGCTTTGCACAAGAACGTCTTACCAATGTTGAGTCGCTGCGTCAGCTTTTGGAGGCCTTAGCCATGCAACGCAGTCTTGCAGCCCAATCTCGGCAGCTGGCAGCGCTGCATTCGGAAGCGGAGGCAACAGCATGCAACAACTGTTCAGACGGATTGCCATGTAAGTGTCAGCATGTTGAGCCAGGTTTTGGAAGTCCACAATTTGCAACTACAAGATGAGAATCTTGGCTTGGATGCTTTTGAGTTCTGCAGAGATTTATAAAGCTGAGAGAATCGTTGAGCTTGAAAAGGAGAGTAGGCTCGGTGTGTGAGTTTTTGTGCGACAAAATAGACATACAACAAAAACAACTGCGAACGTATATGCTTGCCTGTTCGACTGCTTGAAACAACTCTGAAAGGAAGCGTGATCTGGAGCTTCGCATTGCTGCAGCTCAGTTTGCTCTGAAACGCTGGAGAGCTCCAAAGCAGCAGGCAAGGAGCAGGGGACAGCTAGGCCGGTAGGTTGCAAGGCTGTACAGCTAGGTTTTGACCTGAGGTAGAAGACCATAGGACTATGGATCTTTCGAGCAAAGTGCCAGCAGGTCACGTGATCAATTGAGCACGTGCTTGTCTTAGTGTTGACCACTCCGGGATTTTGTGAGGCATCCAATGTAAGAGGTTGTCCTCTTTGCTTGCACTGCCAAACCGGTGAGCCTACGCGGGCTGGCAAAGCGATGCAAAGCGAATTGATAGGCTTCCCTGAAAAGGGATGAAACGGGTGGTTCAGGCTCAATGGGCTTGATCTTGGGGTTTCAGGGTCCAAATGGGTCTGCCATGCTTAGCTTTTGTGCATAGTACTCTACCTGGGCTGTAGTGATTTCTTTGATTGTACCATATTTATATGCTTTTGCGATTGGAGTAGAGCCCAGGTTGAAGCCAAAGATGCTTCGTTGGGGATAGCGGCGTGGCGAAGAATCAACATCAAATAGAGGTTACTCAGGTTGTTGGTTACCGCTTTGTACCGGGCCAATGCTGTTTCATGCTTGTGTGGGGTGTGTCTAGAGGATTTGGCCACTGCATGGTCGAGCAAAGGCGCGAGAGGTCTTTGGACATCTTTGGACATCTTTGGACTGGTGTTTGCTGCGTTTGGTCGCTGGGATCTGATAGCTGCAGCCATTCGGATAGCCTCAACCTCAGCCATAGGTCAACGGATACAAACGCAACTGACCCAAATACATCCAAATACACGCTGACTCAACATACGGAGACTTTCTTGAACCTGGCACAGATTTCTAGCGTATATTTGCAGGATCTTCAAACCAAACTCAGCGGTTTGAAACGCACTCGGAAGAGATGGTATGGACTACACTGGAGTCACTAGAGCAAGGTTGTTCTGCTAAGCTGCGCTCCGGTCGCAACAGAGAACGTACCAGCCAGAGCACCAAGCTCCAAGTGTCACTGTGGAACTTCCAATTTGACAACTTGGAGCAATATAGCATGCTCAGAAGTCACATGGCGTCTTTGATGGAATAGCCTTGTGCAAGGTGGGCCGTGCAGTTTTACAATACTGATTTTTGGTTGAAACACGTTTGTGCTTCGAAAAGGGGTATTTGCCAAGAAGGATTGGCACAATCTCCAGAGTCGTCAGTCAAAGGGGGTGCGCTCGCCACAAGTCATCCGCCTTATCTAACTTGATTGAATTCATTGATTGAATTCCGCATATCTTCAGCGCTGCCGGAGCAGATTGGCTTTATCTGCTGGGGGCAAAAGAGTTCATGCTGCATTCAGTGACTCACACGGCCATGCTGTCAGATGCCCTCCGCTGATGCGGGCCCTGAGGACTCACAAGTAGCTTTTTGGAACTTGTTCTAGCCGATTTAGCTTCAGTTCTGCACGAAGATTCAGCTCGCCGGAGGGTGACAGCAAGGAGTGACTCATTCCTTATGGCTATATAGCAGGGTAAGCAGTCCAGTTTTGAAAGTCAAGGGGTGCAAATGTCACTGACCATAGGCTCTAGGAATCTGCTCTCATACCAATTTCATGTCTTTGAATCAGCTTCACGTGTGGTGACGAGTTTCCACTCTGAGGAGCCACTCTCTTTGCGGCGTCTACGTGAATCCCTGTCGCACACCTTGCGCATTGGTCCCGAATGGACGTCTTGTAGTAGGGGGTTGCACGAACAGGAAAGTCCCACCACGAACTGAACCAAAGGGATTTTGGCCGGCCAGGAGTTTGGAGCGTCTTGAACGCCAGCGCCATGCGCGGGAGTCTAAGTTTTTTTGGAGATCATGCATGACCAAAGGCTCTAAAAGAGAACGCACTCTGACATTGTTTGCAAATGTCTCAGCCAGGGAAAGGACTGACTAGACTCCATTGAACTTCCCAGTATTTTCCCACTCACGTCATACGTCCAATCAGATCTAACAACCCTAGGATTTCTCCAGCAGTCGAGTAGATCCTGCAAGATCGAGAGGGCAAACGCGGCAAACACATGCAAACACCAATTTCTGGGCAGGCTGCGAGACCGCTTTGAAGCTTATCCAGGAGGCACATTCGGCACCTGCTAGGAGAGAACCTGGTCTTTGCAGATCTTGCTTGCACTGACAGTAAACAATGCACAGGCCTTACAGTCCTTGGCAAGGAGAGAGTTGCAAGTGAAGGCTCGTCCAAGTTTTCTTAACGAATGAGTTGGAGCTCTGCAAACATGCTGCTACCCATCCGGCCGCGAGAAAGGCGAGAGGCGCCGCGGTGGCTCCCCAAGGCGGGCAGACTTTCATATGCTTCAGGCTTTAAAGACGGGGAAAAAGGATGGAAAAAGGCAAGAAGTCTTCAGGTACTCATAAGTAAATGTAAGTAAGGAAGCCACCAGGACGAGAACTGGGAGCCTTGGAAGCTGCTCCACTCCTCCACGAACAAAGTCCTATTCCGCAACTCTCCATTCTTCTGAAACTTTTCTTCCGCAACTACTCTTCAGAAACTATTCTTCAGAAACTAATCTACGCTCTTCAGAAACTATTTCGCGATCTTCAGAAACTCATCTACGCTCTTCAGAAACGATTTCGCGATCTTCAGAAACTATTTTGCGATCTGCAGAAACGATTTCGCGATCTTCAGAAACTATTTTGCGATCTGCAGAAAC